TGAAATTAAGCGTCATATCTAAACCAATTATCTATTAATTACTCGGAAACCTCTTGAGAGCTGCATTCTCGTTTGGTAAAATTAAGACATATATAGGTAATCTATTGCTGAATAATATAGCTCACTATTTATCAATTACGTATTGAATTATTAGGTAATCAAATTTTGTGATTAGAGCTTCAGATACAACGCCGTAGGTTTAGAGAAAGTTCTCACTGGAACCTTGCAAATTTATGTGATGAGATAATCTACAAGAATATTATAAATTTTCCCATGATATCTTAAGAGACATAAAAAAAAATCGATCAAAACATCTTCGATTTGCAATTTTACACAACAAAGTTTTGATGCAAAATCGATTTTTGATACTTTTTTTTACTTCTACACAATTTTACAATACTATGAGTGTTAGGTATAGGATAAGATAATAAGCCTTTTTTTTTACGTAAAACTAATAGATCTTCAATTTTAATTTTATTTATCTTCCCTTCTCACATAGTTTTTAAGATAGAAAAAAATCTGAGTTTAAAATGGTTTTTCTGTAATTGAAGTACTGGACAAAGACAACTATTATTATGGATCTCTAGGTTGGTAACGTTCTACTTCTTATACTATTATTTATTCCGTGGTTCTACGCAGGCGAAGTAGTGTAATGTAAAAATTTTTACGGATTTTATTGCGTCTCATTTTAACCTTTTTTATACACATACACATTTTTTTTATAGGAGAAGGGGCAAACGAGCATGCGGCTCACCTGATGGTAGTGCCTCCCGCTGCCCATGAACAACTGCAAACACCAGGGGAATTGCAGATGCGTTGCCGGCCTTTTAAAAGGAGTAGGCTCTTTTCTTGAAGGTCCCTAAGTCGTATCGGTCCGAAAACATCGCTGGTGGTAATTGATTCCACAAGGAAGTTGTGCGAGGAAGAAAACTACATTAGACGGCGTTTTTTTAAAATTCGAAATAAGGAGTCTAGTACATATTTTAAAATAGTTTAAGAATACAAGATGGTTATTTCGCCGTGTTTTAGAGGCCGAAATACTATTTTAATTCCTGTATGCGATTTTTGGTTTTAAAAATCGACGCGTTCTTTTTCAATTAAAACATTTTCATAACTTGCAAAATCGTTCATTTTTAGGGTTTTTTTCATATGAAACCATCGTAACTGTGAGTCGTTCGCTAATAGATCGAGCGATCCGTGCCGAGCCTAGTTTGGCACAAACCCACTGGCGCGGCCGAAAAACAATTTTAAACAATTCCGCTTCTAGTTCGTCGGTGCGGCAAATAAAAACGCTCACCATTCGCATGCTGACGGTTTCACGCGCTATTAGACACGCTGTGGTCTGCTAGGGGTGACCTGCGGGCATTCTACATGGAATGAAAATGGATTAAAGATTTTATAAAACTTTTTTTTAATAATTTTTTGTTCGTTATTCTGATAGGATAAAGGAATATTGTAAAAATTTGTTCAATTATAATATTATTATTTAAATAATATTATAATTGAACAAATTTTACTTGATTTTAATATTAAATTAAATAATATAATAATTGAACAAACTTATAAGCTTAGCACTGCTCAGCTGACGATAGTGTTGTATTATTTGTTTTGACTTCACTATAATATATATTCTAAATCCTTAATATTTAAATATGTTAAATAACTATTTATATTATAATGTTTTAGAAAACACTACTAGTATATTATAATAATAACGCATTGCTCAGCGTATCTGGCAACCCTGAGATTATCGGGTGCGCTTCATTTATCGTCGACAAACGTTCGCCAAATGAGTTCGTACCTGGATGTATCCGAACGGCAAACGCGCCGCATTCCGGCCCGTTAATAGCTGTTGAAGCGTAAATACGTGAGTAATTCGAATGAATCTTTCGTTATGCCAAATATACGGACTAATTTCGCATTCGATTATGTTCGTATTCCCTATGACGCGCTTTGAAAACGATATTTGTAAACATACTGAAGTTAGTATTCATTATGAATTACAATCGATGTATCGTGATTAATTATTTTGATGGTAAGTTTTGTTTACATACGCGTTTATGATTATTTAAAACTATTTAATACTATTCAAAAGAAGGTTCAACGCTTTCTTATTTAACTTCTTAAATGATAAATTTCATAAAATAAATGCCAGATACATTTATATAATTTGGAATTTACGAGCTGTGCAAAAACGATGCCTATAAATTTTGCAGAACAATAAATCAAATTGAATAGTTGGGGAGTATTTTGGACTGAATGAAATAAATAAAAAACACTTTTTAATTGTCTCTGGAAAGACGGTGAGTGTCCGTTAGTGATTAATAGATTCGATAGTCTATTTCTATTTTGAATATCGTTTTTCAATTTATTTACTCTGAGAATACCCGATGAGTGTTTAAAATGCAAATTACGTATACGAAATGGCCAATCTGTTGTTGTTTCTTTTTGTCTGCTCTCTGCTTATTTTAGATAAACAATATACTTGTCTAGATTAAAACTTTATAAAGTATAAAAAAGTTATAAATTTGGATAAAATAGACGAAACTAGAATTAATTGGAAGAGAGGTTGTTATAAAGCATTTTAAAATGATTAATGTTATAGATGTTAAAATAATGTATGCTTTTTAGTTATTAAATCTTGATATTACTGTTTAGTAATTCATTTTATGAAATTTATTTAGTAGATTTTCATCACGTTCAGTTTTAAATCCCGGCGTTTTGAGTGCTTTATTTTCATTAAATGCGTCATTTAATTTGTTGTATTCACTTAATATAAGAAATCGTTAAATATTATTATCATAATATTTAAACTTCATTATTACAGATTTAATCTTATATAATACTAGAGAGTCGCCACGGCTACTCACGGGTGATTTCTGGATCTCGACAACAGCGCCACCTACCGGGATTATAAGTTTTTAATCCGAACGACGATGTATTTATAGAATTAAGAATTGGCATGTAGAGCTAATGATTGTTTCGGGTCTATTTGTAAAATTTATGTAATATGTAAAACACCGTCACGATACAGAAAAACATAGATTTTTTTTTAAATTATGGAGAATGTTGGATTTATCTTAATTGCCACATTTGGCGGACGTTTTGAAGATCGCAGTATCAGACAACTGGTATTTGGAAGATGCTCCCCCATTACCGGTCTGAATATTTTTCGTCTATAATATACGTGATAGTTATGGCACCATCTCAGCAGCCATCACATCTTTTTTTATACTATTCTAAGCCAGCGCTTATCTAAGATGCCATCTGATGGTAAGTGGTGATGTAGCCTAAGATGGTGAAGCGCACTGACTTAACAAAAACATATTCACTCTTGCCTTGAAGACACCTACACTGTAATCGGATGGAAAGACAGAGGTTGGCAACTTATTCCATTCCTTTTCTATACGCATGATTAACGACGTGGCGAACCGTTTGGTTCGAATGCGTGGCAAGTCAATAACGAAAGGATGGAGACTGTCTGAACGTCTGGTTGTCCGATGGTGAAAGGGAGAGGGTGGAATTAAATTATGCAATTCCTGCCGCACACTCTGCGAAATGCATCCTGTAGAAAACCGAAAGGCTGGCTACTTTGCGTCTGTGTTCGAGGCTGGTAAGTCAGTCATTTCCCACATTCACCTCCACAGGACGAAATAGAACTAGTAAGTGAGGGTAATATGGTCGTTCGGTTAATATGGTCACTTTCTTGTAACTCAAAAACTACACATCTACTCAAAATTTGCATAGATAGCTCTGCGATACGATAGCTCTTCATCATTCAATCAAATAATAAAGGGTCAAAGGAGCGCTGCTTTATCTACGCTGTGGCCGGTGGAAGGAAAAGGGGAGATCTCCCGCCGGGCAAGGTGTTCTGCCTGGGGAGCGGCCAACGCTCCGAGGGGTAGTTCGGAGCTATTCTATATATTATACGGCTTTAACTTGGAACTTTGTTAGCGCGATTTAGGCTTCGATATGTTTCGCTTGTGGCGCGACAACAGCGCCGCCACAACGTCATTTTGATAGTTGTTAGTTTTTTTAAAGATTATTTTTCAAAGTGTTCCTGATTATTGCCAAAGCTTATTTGTTATTTTTTTTCTTAATATATTAGTTATAGTATACGACTATGTGTTTTTGTCTCTGTCCTCCTCCTAGTATTGCTTTTATAGGGCGGCAAAGCTTAAGGTGACCATATTACCCTCATGTACCTTAGTGTATTTCTACGTCATCACGGTCTTATTACAAAAAGTAGTTGGAAATTAGTTTCAGATTCAAACTAAAGCCTGTTTCAATAAAAGAGTCTGTGTAAAATATGCGGAATAAAATGTCGTGTGAAAATTGACAGCAAATGTCAAATATCTCGAAGACGGGTCTTCTCTCGTGACAAAGTCCTATTTAAACCTGAGACTGTCAATAAACCTCGTTTTGTAATGAGACCGTGGCGTCTTTTACAAGAATTAGTTTACAATTAGCCCAGAATTTAAACTAGAGACTGTTTCAAAAAAGAAGTCTCGTGGAAGATATGTGAACAAAAATCTAAATTGTGTGGAATTTGACAGCAAATGTCAAATATCGCGAAGACTATGGCGTGACTTCTTTCGTGACATAAAGACCCGGCTCTGACGGCTAACTCGGGTCTTTCGATGACTGCGTTCTGTAAGAACATGGAATAAGTTTGAAGAAGAGCCGGGCACTCGCTGTATTTACACAGTACGCGAGCAACCCGGGTTTGATTCCCGCCGGCGCCAATGAAATTTTTAATTGCAATTTTGAGTGCTGATTTACCACGTGCTCGGCAGTGAAGGAAAACATCGTGAGGAAATCTGCATCTCTGAGAAATAAGAAAAAAATATTTCGAAAACATGTGAAGTCCGCCGACACGCATTGGGGCAGCGCAGCGGACATTTCCTTGCCCTAAAATCCTCTCAGAAATAAGAGGAGGTCTGGCCCAGCAGTGCTGTAACTTTATAGGCTATAACTCTTCAGTTTGAAAATTTGCTTACCATAAATGAGTTTGACGTGACAAAGTCTGCAATCCGTCGGACAAAGCGCAGCGGTGACATCTGTTAACAATATAAACAGAAGTGTTAAAGGTTTGCTGTTTACGTGAATTGTTTCTTCTGAGCTTTCAATGAATGAACGGGAAAAAGGATCCAGCCCACAAATAGAGATATTGACGTCTGAAATTTTAATAGGTATTTAGTGATAATGGAAATTTGTTTGTCGTTTTGTTTTTTCGATTGCGACTTTGTTTCAAGGTTGTCGTGTATAAATTTAGAGAGAAAATTCCACCCCTCAGGGTAGCCAAATAGGGGATAAAGTTTATAATGAATCTTTTTAGACAACATAGAGTTTGTGTAAAAGCCGACTTTAAAAGAACTAATAATTAAAAATTAAAAATTTTGTACCACCGAATTCAATATCAATTATTAAGAATAACTCAAAAACTATTGGTCAGAATTTGATCAAATTTATATGGGACCACATGTAAAGCACCAGCTTTCAAATAAAAAAGAATCATCGAAATCGGTTCACCCAGTAAGAAGTTATGAGGTAACACACATAAAAAAAACATACAGTCGAATTGAGTACCGGCTCCTTTTTGAAGTTGGTAGAAAAGAAAAAATAATATTACATTTTGGAGTCGGGGCTTTAACTACACACTATGTATTACTGCCTTATTGGTCCAGTGGCTGTAGTAGTGCTACCGCTGATCATGAGGTGCCGGGTTCGAATCCCGGGTCAGGCTAAAAAATCAGGTATTGAGTTTTTCCGTCAAGAAATTCTCAGTAGCTGTCAGGAGTCAGGAAGTTGGCGATGTCTCACCGCCGTACTTCGGAAAGCACGTAAATGTATGATCTCTCTCCGGTCAAATCGGTTCACCATCCTATCGGACTATGAGAGTGAGGGAATATGCACTCCCACCTGCGCGTACACTGACACTGATGGCTAGTCTCTATTGATTCGGGCCGCCGTGACCGAAATTCAGTCTGGAGGACATTATGTGTTAATGGTTAGTACCGACTTCAAAATTTGAAATCATTTTATTCTTGTTGGTTCTAGTAAATCGGCCTTTACTTTTTATTAAAACTAATTTTAATTACAGTGTTTTTGTGTTGAACGGAGATTTAAATATTGAAACAATTAAAAGCAATCCCCTGTGATGTTCAGTGTTAATTAAAAGGCGTGTTGCTCTTTGCAAGATTTATTAGACAGTTTTAAAAGTAGAATTCAATTAAGAACTACAATTACTTAATTTCTAACATGTCTAATCGATCGCATTTAGTTTATGGCAAGTCGTTTTTCAATTTTTATTATTGAATAGGACAGAAAGCTAAAATAATAAGAATAATAATTTAACTACTTTTAAATGTCTAAACTAAGTCTTGTTATTCTGGGTTATAAAAAGTATCAGACAAAAATTCGTTAGTTAAAAAACTTTGCCGACGATATTTGAATGCATACATTTCGAGGTGCCGACCGGTGTGCTACGTAGTCGTCAATCGGGTCCACAACGTTAGAGCGTAATTGCATGTCAGTGAATAAGGTATTCAATGTAATAGGCTCGGTTATTTGATGAAAAGCGATTGCGAGCAGGCCGCGGCTAGGGTTACCAAATGAAAAAATTAAAAGTCCGGAGAAGAGGCTTGAATTCCATTTAAAAATCCTGAGATTATTTTTACAGTTTGAGAAGAAGACCTTACTTAAAAAGGTATCTTCACATATGAGTATGAGAAAACTGTTTAAGTACCTACTTGGATAAATAAGTTTTGATTTTAATTGTGGAGTTATTACCAAAGGAAAATTATTTTTAGTTTGTTAAACTTTTTATTAAAGAGATCTTCAAAATGTAAGCTATATTATTTGAAAGTTCTAAAAATCCTGAGATTTCATGAGATTTGTAAAATCTAGCTGCAATCCTGGGAAGAGTATAAAAATCCTGAAATCTATATATGGTAACCCTAGCCGCGGCAGGCCGTGTTTGAGTTGTTGATGCCCGCGCCGCCTATAATTTTCCACCGGTTATGTAAAATCAAAACTATATCGAGGGTAATTGCCCTGTGGTTGTATAAGACTAGGCCAATTATTTGGATTTGTTCTTAATGTTGTACACAATTATTTTTTATTAGACGCGTTTAGTGAAAATTAAATTAAAATATTTATTATTCAGTATATAAACTTATAAAAGTCCACTGCTGAACATAGGCCTCACCCAAAGGTTTCCTCTTATGGGGATTTCTCTATGACCGTGGCGGTGTAAGAATATCCACTAGCCCATGTCATCCCTTGGGTGTCGTAAAAGGCGACAGAGGGAAACTGAAACTGGAGATGGGCAGCAGCATCTATCTGATAACAACTCTCAAAATTATGAAAAAGCTACGGTTACTAATCCGCCTGGTAAGCGTGGCAACTATGGCAAAATCCCGAATAAGAGAAAAAGAAACGGTAATTAAAGTATGTAACAATGTTGTTCCATTGTTCCAACACGTGCCGACAAGGCACAGGTCGCCTTACATTCTAATAGCTCTTTTTTATAATGAATTTTATATCAACACATTGAATAAAATAAAATTTTACAGATTTTACAGATTACAGAGTTAAACTTGACGACATTATATTTTTACTTAATTATTAATAATTCAAAAAAGAAAGGTACTCAATTCGACTGTATTTTTTATGTGTGTTACCTATGGAATTTTTTTCTAGGTGAACCGATTCTGATGATTCTTTTTTTATTTGAAAGTTGGTGCTCCTCATGTGATCCCATATAAATTTGATCAAAATCTGACCAGTAGTTTTTGAGTTATCCTTAATAATGCGTATTTAATTGACTTCGACTACATTCATGATGTTCTCATTTTATTTGTATTGAAGTCGGTTATACAAAATTATTAATTTTACCACATGTATCAAGTTAAGTTTGACTTAATTTTTTTTGCTTAATTTTTATTCCTGAAGTTTCAGCGTTTGACGTACTGAAATGAGAATTAGTATATAAATTTTTGATCTAATCTACGTAGAACGAACTTACAGCATCTTAAAAAGGGCCCTAAGATTGCTACATTTAACGTCTTAACCATAAATGTAGCAAAATGTGTAAATTATTTATTTTATAAATAATTAATTTGCTTTCGTTTTCGAGTGGGCTAAATAAAATAAATGTTCATTCACTAATGCATTACAGCCTAACAAAGGCCACGGCTAAACAAAGGCCTCCCCGTATATTGCCTTATATGGGGTATATTTGCCATAGTTGTCACGCTTGGCAGGCATGTGGGCAACCGCAGTTTTTATTTTTAACCGACTTTAAAAAGGAAGAGGTACTCAATTCTACAGTATTTTTTTTGTGTGTGTGTTACCTCATAACTTTTTTCTACGTGAACTGATTTTGATAATTCTTTTTTATTTGTAAGCTAGTGCTTCTCATGTAGACGCATATAAATTTGATCTAGTTCTAGCTAGTAGTTTTTGAGTTATCCTTAATAATTTATATTGAAGTCGGTTGTACAAATTTTTTTGGTAAAGACCCCTTGTTATTTGAGTTGTAATCAGAAAGATGCCGTTGCTCATATCTTGTTTCACTCCCTCTGTCATCTCTTACGTCACATACGGTATGATATGAGGTAGTGGATCCGCTGCCACTACACCACGAAAAACGTTGTCTACGATACTAAAAATCATATTATGTGTCGTTGTTCACAATTCTAAACTAATTGATATAAAAAGAGCGACAATTGAGGATACGGGCCGAGAAACTTCAAAAGTTGTGTGTTCAAATCCGCCATGCAACTACTGGTAGTGAACCACTCCTATTACGAACATTTAAAGCTTAGTTCGAGTGGTTAAAGGGTATTAGTAGTGTTAACAGCATAAATAACAGCACAAAGTGTTGACACCGGATGATTAATGACGTGCTATCTAATGAAGTGCGGCTGGAGAGGGCAAAGGGCCACCCCAAAGCCGCGGACATCTAGTTGATCCTGTCGGGCTATGGAAAAAGCTGCTATTATATAGTATAGTAGTAACACGAATGGGTCGACTCGACCGGGGTAGGAAGCACGCTCTCACAGAATACCAGCGTAAAATAGCAGCTTGATGTTGCTGTGTTTCGTATGGTGAGTGTAGAAAATCGGAGACGCTTTTTTACTGGAAACGAGGCATTCCATCGCAGTGATCAGGAGTGACAAAGCATCTGCATTTCGATTCTTAATCGAGGATAAATGTAGATGTCAATGGGCCACAGCATACACTTACCATCAGGTGGACTGTGTGCTCGATTGTTACTCTTATTCTATAAAAACATCCTCAAACATCCTCCAAAAGAAAAAAAAAACACAATTACACGCACAATTTATTTTATTTCATTGCATAGTATAAGAACAGCACACACAAACGAGCACACAGTCCACCTGGTGGTAAGTAAATGCTGTTGACTATGTACATCTAGAAAATGCAGATGCGTTGTTAACCTTGAGGATTAAGATGGAATGCCTTGTTTTCGTCACCGATTTTCTAAAGAAACACAGCAGCATTAAGTTGCTATTTTACGCTGGTATTCTGTGAGAGCATGGTCCTTCTTTGACCGGGAAACAATTCTGATTGCTCGTTAAAAGAATTAAGATTAATGTGTCATTATTGTAAACTTATCAAGTTTAAACTTCTTTGATAATATCATATTTATCAGACTACTTGTTATTACAATCAAAGAATGATTAGGCGTTTAAGTTGGAGGTAATTATGGAAACGATATTGTATTAAAATATTATAGTCTCGTTCATTGTTGTAAATAACAATGCATTTAAATGGACGACGGACAAACAACATTCCTATTAATTTCGTTGAATATAAGGAAATATGAGCGCACATGGCGGTTTCCCACAAGGCGTGCGATTACGCCATTAATGCGGGAACTATGTTTGTAACGATTTCATTATAGTGCACGTAATTTAACGTAATTGCGAAGGGACGCCGAGCAGAGTCAGGGTGCATTTGTCGCCTTTTAACCTGCTGGGTTTATATTCATTCGTAGTTTCATTGAAATTATTATAATAACTACAATGTA